CGTTCCCAATCACTGTAATTGCCACAATTAGAAACAGAAACACTATGCAAGCTATTTTTCCGTAAATGTTGGATAAAATCTCTGTGTCCTCACAGTTTGAATCATTCACTTTTATCCTTGCTGTCCTCTTGTCAAAACATTTTCTTCATATTTGAACTGAACCTCGGTTGATTATCTTCTCCTGCATGGTCATTTCTTGTGAGCAATTATTCCTTTCCGGATATTGTTATAAATTTAATGAGTATTTCTATTGTCCGAGTGTTATCTATCAATGGACCAAAGTTGAAATAAAAAATCGATATCACGAAAAGCACAGCTTGTACAATTTATATAATGATGTCTGGCTTTATTTTAATCACAATTAATGAGGATGATTAATCATAATAAAGCCCTATTTCCAACCATAACAAATCTTGAATTTAAGAGTCGTGTAAAAACGATTGAATTCCTTTGAAGAACCGAAAAAATGACGCAAAACTATAAATTTTGAAGAAAAAAACTGTTTGTATGAAATTTGATATTCTTTATCACCTGGCGTAATATTAGTAATAATTATATATTGCTAAGAGAAGTCAGAACTCCAAAGTTGTGCTTATTCGATTTCTCGCTTTAGTCAAGAGGTGTGATATTAGCAGATCCGAAAGGAGAGACCATCACGTCGAAAATGTATATCAAAATTGCATTCAGGAAAATGCAGCAGCTTTTCTTCGAGGGAAATACAGATATAGATCTGCGAGTTAATTCTCTTGTGTCTGACAACGCTTCTGAAAAATCAACAATTGTAAAAATATGAAAATTGCACTTGTAATAACCAGCAATTGTGTTCATAATTATAATATTCGAAAACATTGACGGGAAATTCAACTGTAAAGTATTTGACTTAATTAATGTGAAATTTCTAACATGTATACCAATTATTTAAAACATCTTAAAACTTATACAAAAGAAGAAATAATATACTATTTTCAACATTTTGATGTATATTGAAAATTCTGTGTCCTGCGGGCGATGTCAAAAGCAGCCATATGATCATTTTTTTCTCTCTATTTGTGGATGTCTTTTCTAGGTTTCAAGAGTCCTATTTTACGCAGGAAAAAAAGTTACTATCCTACTTAAAGGTAAGCTGTTTTTTTTCTAATTTATACAGTTTTGCAACTTATAAATGTAAACTTTAATAAAGTATGTAAAATCAAGGTTTATAACTCAACCTTTCTTAAATTCATATTCCTTTAAGGTATAATATAATTAAAATAATATTTATCAATATTATATGCATAGATTGTGATATATATTCTCATCAATCTGATTAAAATACAGATCTCTACATAGCGCAAAGCGCTATGTAGAGATCTGTATTTTAATCAGATTGTATTCTCATATATTAATGTTTTAATTGTCTAAATCTCAAAAGTATTTTTGCAAAAAGTGGTCAACCTCTAGCTATTCATATATAAGAAAATCATGATTTATGGAAATAAAACAAATCGGTTTTGAATTATTTTAAAGTATTTAAAGGTTAATTTGCCTTGTTTTATTTCAGATATAAACATTTCAGAAAAAAAAAAAACACTAAAAGGGAGGTTGCTCTGAAAGCTGTGTTTAATCATTGCAACTACATCTGACGTGCAAATGTGAGACAATATTTTACTTTTATAGTTAAACCAGATATATGTGTGTTACTAAACATATTTATACAGTGTATAGGATTTACATTTCAGGTAAATTTTATCAAATTTTATTAACTTATTTGACGCAGTGAGAAAATATTTGAAATACGAAGATTCATTTGTCCTCAACATCAAAAAATTAAATGTTGTTAATATATGTGCATATGTTTCGAGAATAATAACAAAAGAAATTTATTTTTAGAATACAAATTCTTTAAATACACCTTTAAAAAGTGTGTGTTCACAAACTTTTGTTATATTCTTGAAAATCTACAAGAGTTAGTAATTGAAAAAAGAAATTCTTGATTAACTAATTTTCTAAATTGTTAATTCAAGAAATTTAGGAGCCAGTAAACAAACCAAAGAGTACAGCCAATAACATGTTCTAGAATAAACTACTTTAGAAAGAACATAGTATTTACTCAGTTTACAAGTCATTCTAGCTGTTAATGTATAGATAATCAGCATGACCTATATGTTCAGACGACGAACGTAAATTGGACAGCAAGAAGGAATTTTAATTACGACGCAAACTGTTAAAATAATAGCCAAGGCACAGTAATGGAAAGGAACCGTGAGTTTCACTGCTGGTAACATCAGGCTCCTTCGTAAAGAAAAACAATTTATAGCTCATTTGGAGTTAATTATGAAATGACATGAACTCGTCTTGATTGGTTTTTCAAGAGTCTACACGTAATAATATCCTACTTTGTAATGCCACTTTTTTTTAACTATGTTACATTTTCACAAGTGTTCAAGTGATTTTTTTTCAAAGATAAGTTGTTGCTCTATCTTGACCTCAATGTATTTTTTTTACTCTTTATTTTTCAGCAAAGTATTTTATCCGCAGTGGTTCGTTTTCCGTCCATTGATAAAATACTCTTTTTTCTACAAATTCATGCCACGAGATCTATAACTAATTATATCTAATTAATCAAATAAAACAATCCAGAATCCATACTTGATTATATGTTCAAGTTCAAAAGGCATTCAAAGATCGCAGACCTCCTGCAACTCAGTTATCCTCCCAAATTACATGATGATCCTGCTGCAAATTACATTCCAACCCCCAACACATGAATAACGATATATAAATATTCATAGATCTACATAGATGACTGAGTTAGTCACTATATTTAATCTTTATACCCCATTGAATAAGTTTAACAGTTGGAAATATCTTGCAAAGAGACAAGAAAAGGTGATGCACGAAATGGAAGATATTGTTAAAGGCATAACATTTCCAAATTATTTGGATTTAATATGGGATAAATTATGATTAACTTACAATATTTGTCAACTTTTGATTGCTGTTATTTATTTAATAAAATAGATATACATCAGCTATTATCGGAAGACATTCCAGTAATTCTAATGTTAAAAAAAGTAAGACCCTTTGGAATCCTATATTACATTCGAAGGTCTATAAAAATTCGTTCAAATTAGCCAAAGATTTAATCCAAATCACAAACTGGTAAATGTGTTTTTTGCCCTTAAAATTCTCAACATGCCAGCCGTGCCATTGTCTTAAATTATCTTTACAGTACACTAGTATAATATTTCCACCTTGGAAGAAGTTCATGTAATAAGCTATATATATATTCAAGGATATATCCTTTCGCCCAGTTTATCAAATTGTATTTTAATAACATTGTTTGTCTTTTTTTCTAGAAATCTAATTTCTTTAGCTATTTTTTTCAACTTTCTGAATGGTCAATAAAAGTTGCAGTGGTAAAGAATCTTTATTACCTTGTATTAAGCAATTCTTTTTTTTTATTGATTTGAAACATGAGAAATGACAGGAAAACTATCAATTTCTGTAAAATAAATTATGGAACCTGAACATATAAATAAGAACACTCCGCCATATACAGTTGATAAGAATTCGTTAACAAACTCAAAATAAAAAAAACTTTAATATTTACTACCAACTTCATGAAATTATTCTAAATTTCCATCTCAAGAAACGTTTGTTTCTTTTACCTTGAAACTGACATTTTCTGCATTTCTAGACCTTTGACAGATAGAGTTCTAGTGATAAACGTTACAACAAAGCATAGATCACAAAAATTATGCAACATTTTTATCAAGAGGAAGTTGGAAATGTGTACATAGAGCGTCAGGGTGTCTGAAACATGGATTTTTTATTCTCGATAACAGGGTGATATTGAAAAAGATTCTTGAAAGATTAACCAGTTCGTGTGTACTAGTTTAATATACAAATCATGAATAAATTCTTTTATTTAAGATTTAGGTTTACATGTTTCTCATTTTCAGTTTCTATACCAAATTTTGACATTCATTTATTTGTCGGCGTCAAAGTACTGAAAAAAAAACAGTAAAATATGTTTGTTTCAATGTCCGCAGATAAAAACATGTACCTAATTCCAAATTGAGAATCGTTTTTACATTTCGCTTTTGTCTGATTTAAAATAAAACACATACTTTGTATAGCATTATATAGCTATTTCAAATGCAATAGCCAAAAAAAAAACTCTGTAGCAAACTATATATGTAAGTTACACGTTTTTAAAGTTATACAAATTCTGAATTGTAAAGTAAATGCATTATGCCGCTCAATAATACAATTAAATGGAAAAATTACAAACATGATCAATAAAAAATTGCAAATCATAATCATCTGTGAACATGACGTAAACACAGGCCCCCGGAATAGCCAGTGGGATCAAGTATCAAGTAGAAGTAAGCATTTCCTTGTTGACCGATCACACCCGTCCTGAGCCCAGTGTATAAAAAGTTGAATGGAACTTTCCATAGTCAAACTGAGAATAAAAGCAAAGGTCTACTAAGTACTATGAAACGCTTCGGCCACAAGAAGATGCAATGATATTTCATTTATGACGTTCTTTATTATAGCGATCATAAAATTTACAAAATACTGACTCCAAAGGGGATTGAAACCATTTCACTTCATTATAAGGTTAATTTTTAAAATGCATTTTTTAAATTTAAAAATCCTATCAACAATCAACTAGAGATAGTTTCAGTTAGTATTTCACATTAAAAATTTTTAATTTCAGAAAAATCAATTTTCCTAATATTGGAAACACTAATAAAACCTCAAAATGTTCTAAAGATTTTATCCGTCATACATCTAGAAGAAGAAAACTTTACTAACTTTAAAAAAAATATCTTGAGAATATTTTAGTCTTGAGATCTCCGACGTTGTTTTCAAATTAAATGAAAAGGTCATTTTAGTACTATCAATAATAATTTAGCATGTTTTAATTCAAGCAAGTGACTTTTCAAACCCGTTGATTCAATTCCTTTGCATTATACTTCTGAACTGATTAAGTTAGATAAGTAAGAACACAGGTTTACATACAATTTATTCTTAAAACAACATACAACATTTCATGTGAATTAGACAGCATTGATACTTGTCAAAGAATAAATTTTTCTTCGTGGTGGAATAAGGCTTAAGATTTGCATTTTATTTTTTATGCATTTGAAAGTTGCTTTTTGTTTTGTCTCTTTGGATTTCCGATTTAAGAAGTAGTATAAGTAAGGATTAACTGTAGAATTAATATACCCTAACCATGTGATCACTACCCAGGCTCCTTCGTGTAATTCATAATCAAATAAAGGTTCTAAAATGTTCACAGTGAAAAACGGAAGCCAACACATAAGAAAACATCCTAAAAGTATAGCAATTGTCCGAGCGACTTTCACTTCTTTTTGCATTTGTTGCTCCCGGTGAACATCTTTGACGTAATTGGATGTGAGTTCGTGAAGTTTTCTTCCTCTACTTTTTATGAATCTGAATATTTTTACATTGCAGAAAATCATGAATATGACTGGTAAATAAAATGAAGCAACTGATGCAATAATGGCACCTAGAGCATTCACTCTTAATATGGGCGTTGTATGACAGTTTTCTGAACGGACACTGATTTGGTTAAACTTGATCATCATAAGACTTAACGATATCAAAACAGGCAGAAACCAACACAGAAAAAGCAGACAAGATACCCTTCTTTTCTTCATTATATGATAATATTTAAATGGCTTGGTAACCGCCACGTAACGGTCAACCGTCATGCAGGTGAGATGCAGAATCGACGTTGTTGTAAACAGTACGTCAAGTCCCCAGTACATTAGGTACGTGGTATTGTGGTGCAACCAATCAAAATCACTGCACAAATGTAAAATAGAGAACAACATTACAAAAATGGCGACGGAAAGGTCCGCAACAGCCAATGAAATAACAAAGAGATTGGTTCTCTGTTTGTACTGGTGACGTTTTGTTACTACTTTTATGACAAGTAGATTTCCAAATATAGTTAGTCCAAGGACGATTGATAATATCACAATGACTGGAATGCGAAAAGCATTACCCGATAGTATTCCTCTGGTCTGAGTGCCATTGCACAACATTGTTGCGTCTGGCAACACGGTGTCATTATAGATATGCAGCAACATCACGTCTAAATTATACATTCAGGCAGACAAAAGATGACAAACTCAAAGGGCATTCGAATATTAACGTTGCGATTTTCCTTCCCAAAGACATTGCTTATCCTTGTTATCACTTGCTTGCTCCTTTAAGCAAAATGTGATGTTCAACAAATTCCTTATCACTTAATGCTGACAGAAAAAAAGCAGTATACATGGTATATGTTGTATAAAATGGCAATATAATCTTTTAAACTGGCTCTTCTGATAAGCTACGAAATCCAGTAAGATTCCAAGAAATGTAAATCATTCAGCAAATTTTAGGGGAAAAAATACAATTGCAATCCGACACACCGCCGCTTGATTTGTTTTATTTCTGGAGCATCCAATTAAAATCCAGTGGGGTTTTGCAGAAATGGCGCTTTTTAACTGCAATTCAGACACCATAGAGTATGAAATATCGTTCGGATTCTAATTATTACAGGCTCATCAAAGAATAGTTCCTAATTTTTGGGATGTTTCCGTTTCAACGCACAAAGATACCGGACTGCGAGTAAAATCCCGAATACATATTTCATGTCATTTAAAGAGACAGTTTTAGGTCATATTTTATGACCATCACAGGCTACTGTGTTTTGGATGGTACTAGAAACATTACTACTGTCGTATATGTAATTGTCAATGGGACGGGATCCGAACAAAGTTCATCATAAATGCAGTCCAATAAATACTTAATATCAGTTCCACAATTGAAGTCCGAAGTTCGAAGTCCGTAGATTACATTGAACAAAACTTCCTCAAAGGCCCATGTACACTTTGTTCTTAAAACCAACAACTGAAGTTTTCGTTTATTCTTCGATCCAAAATCATAAATCTTTAATGAATAATTCATCAACTCTCCTTTTAAGTAGCACTACCTGTTCTTTAACTAATCCAATCACACAGCCGAATATTTCCCTCCCAGAATCCTGAACTGAATCACCTCATCTCTCAATTAAAAATAATTAAGACTCTACTTCATCAATGATTAGAAAACAAAGCCATGATCTCACCAAGAGAGTCTGAGCCGTCTTTGAAGTATTTTCAGTGTCTTGTTCGTGCGTGTAAACCCGTCTGTCTCTCTTCGCTATAAGAGACCCTCGATTCTGGACTCAGCGGAATCCGACATTATCCTGATTTAATAAATGTAAATAGTTTACATAGGTAAATATATCGTGGTATTCAACTGATAGAGTTTTGTTTTGTAAATAGATGCATGCGTAAATGAAACTCCTGAAAATAAATTGTGAAGTTAATAAGAGAAAGTTAAATTGCAATCCCAAATCGTTTTTTTTTTTTTGGTATCTGAATGAAAAAAATTTCTTTTTTTCGTGTGTTTCATATATTGAATGAATTGATGCTGTTCCATTTTGTTTTGTAATTTACGCATTTCATCAATCGAATTTTTGCACTAGGATTAGAAATTCGGTCAGGTTATTGTTCATCAATCAGCTAGGTGATGTGTGGTTAAATATGCAACTAAGAGAGAAAAAAATTATTACCAGTATTTTTTAAACTCTAGGAAAATGTAATCATAAAAAATATACAGGATATGCGTATGTATATTGTTGTTAGTACAAATATGAAATAAAATATTTTTGTCTAAATTCAAACTGAAGACGTTATATTAAAGAAAACTGAAAAGATAAAAAAAATTCGTATAGTACTGGTGCCTTGATAAATATCTCTGGAGCACAAAGTGTACTTTGTTGAGGACACGACAAACGCCCCATTTTACAAGTACACATTTTCTGAGAAATTCTTATGTAAATACGAAGTTTATTAAAGGCTTCGCCAAGCGAGAATAGGTGCAACTTACTCACACAAAAAAGCATCATGTTTGCTTTACCATGTCTGCTTCCATGTTTCTTCTCAGATGCTCTTAGTTCAATCTGGTTCATAACGAAATCTAATATTTGTGTTAAGCCTGTGTTCTAAGTACACGGCCGCTTATTAAGGCGTGTTTTTCGATATGGATTTTAGATATTGATAAAATAGAGTTAAGAAGATCTTTCAAAATGAGGTTTGAATTAAATTATTTATTAAAGTCTTTCTTTAGAATCGAACATAAGTTTCAAAATCGTATACTCTTGTGGATTTCGATTTAAGATTCTTTCTAGATGACATAATTTTAACTAATTGAAATAGGTTATAGATAAAGAACAGTGAATTTATCTCAAAAATAAACTTACAAGCTGTACGTATCTGTAAGCAGGGCAAAAAACAAAGACGTCTGTAATTTCAAGAGATGTGATCAGGTGCGTAAATTAAGAACCCTTTGTTTTGATTAGGTCGTCACTTCAGGTTTCTATTCCTTGTATCAACTAACAGATACATTATACGTATGACAATGAAAGTTAACCTGAATGCATATATTTATGCATACATGTATCTTTTTTAATTCAATAAGTCGTATGTTCTTACCTATAAATTAAAAATGTCAAATAACATTGGCCGTTTCTTTCAACTGACGAAATAACTTTATCTGTAGAAGATTATGCCAGTCAGTAGGGTTATTATGAAAGAGCACACATTAGCACTTTGTCAGATTTAGAAATATATCAAAGAACCGTATTAGAACTAGAAAATTAAAATGCAAAATACAAACCTCCATCCTCCTGTTTTCACAAAGAAGACTACATGAACAGTATAGTATAGTTCCCACAGACAAGGCATGTAACAATTGTCTATATTTGTAAGGCTCATTATATGGCTTATTATAACTGTATTTTAGGAGAACTTGGGTTTAATCCAACGTCTGGAAACCCAACATTTAATATATTTAAAGGACGGAATATTCTTCAAAATCACATTTCAGTGTTCAGCTTTATTACGTTCAAGTCAAAGTGAGTTCAATCTATCCTATCTACTTTTGATTTCTAAACTTCATTAAGAAAAACTACAAAAAATACATTGCTGGGTCCAGCAATGTTTTATCTAGCCCAGATTTTTACTCATAATTTTCTACAAATATTCACTGATGGGATACAATAAGTCGTCCTATTTTTATATTCATATAAAGCAGAATTTATTACCAAACTTTTATAAATGAATAGGAAACAATTTCCGCGTCCTTCAAGTCGACATTCAGGTATATAGACGACGTTTTTATCAATCAAAAATATTATTATACGAGGGTTGATCCAAAAGTAATGTCACAGTATCCATATCTTTTATATTTGGCGTCATATTATCAAAAACAATATACCCACAGATGCACAAATATAAATCTTATTAACATTGAAACTTTAATTTAATAATGTTTATTTGAATTTATTTTATAGATGTTTAAAACACTGAGCATAGGAGGTGTCGCCGCGTCACAACGGGACGTCACGTTTCAAAGGGTACTTTTGCTTAGAATGAAAAAGACAAACACATTAAAAAGATTCTAAAAAACACTTCATCTCCCAATTTTTTTTAAAGAAACAATTGTCGTCATTTTCTAGTCTTAATTGAAAATTAAATGACGGCATTGGTATTTGCGATCATAAACACTGTTGTTTTACTCGGTTGAATTGAACAAAGGGATTGTCGAAATGGGAAAAAACGGCTCGACGAGTTGTAATGCATTTTTGCTTCAAAATATAGGAATCATCACAAGCGACAGTTACGTTAATTAATCAGACTTACAGAGTAAAAAATTAAATAAGAGACATCTTAATAGATGATTTCAGCTAAATTGGCGGGTGATTGGTCACTGATTGATCAGCAGAGGACAAGAAGACCGAAAGATGGGAGATCGGACGGAAACGTTGAATAGTGTCTGACGTTGTCAAAAAGACAGACGTATAGAGAGACATGTGAATTTTAAGTTTGTCTTATGCTACCACAGGCACCTGAAGCATGGATAATACCCCCCCTTTTTTTTTAAATTAAAAAAAAATGTAAGAGTGTATAATATCTCAAAAATATATAATTCCCCCGTCAAACACATCTATATGTCGTTATATGCAAGCAGATTGTACTTTTTCTCACGTTTAAAGAATGGCCTTATTCGGTATAATAAAAATACACAAGGTAAGAAACAAAAGTTGTAAACAAATGGGGAACACAATTACCAAGGTAATAATTAATGTTACCTATCATAATTTTGCAATCACTCTGTCTGGGAGATGTTCTTTGATTAGTCTCTTTAACCTAAACCCCGCTATTAGCGTTTGGTATGCCGTAATCAGACGATTTATTAATCGGATACATAAAATTTTCTCCATTGGCAGCGTTAAAGGAGGTTTTGAAGCTGCTTTTCTGTTTCGCCTTATCTGATTGGCTCATTATAATACAGTTTAAATATCTAACCAATCAGATAAAGCGAAACAGAAAAGCAGCTCCAAAACCTCCTTTAACGCTGCCAATGGAGAAATTTTATGTATCCGATTAATAAATCGTCTGATTACGGCATATCAAACGCTAATAGCGGGGTTTAGGCTAAAGAGACTAATCAAAGAACATCTCCCAGACAGTGATTGCAAAATTATGATAGGTAACATTAATTATTACCTTGGTAATCTGTCTCGAAAAAGGGGTTCCCCGTTTGTTTACAACTTTTGTTTCTTACCTTGTGTATTTTTACTATACCGAATAAGGCCATTCTTTAAACGTGAGAAAAAGTACAATCTGCTTGCATATAACGATATATAGATGTGTTTGACGGGGAAATTATATGTTTTTGAGATATTAATTATATACTCTTACATTTTTTTTACTTAAAAAAAAAAGGGGGGGGGGGGTATTATCCATACTTCAGGTGCCTGTGATGCTACCGGTCAAAAAATTTTGACAGAGGGCTTAATTAATTATGAAAAAGTGAGTGTATAATGGTACCAAGAATTCTTAAAGAAATTAGTGGAATTGGTTAAAGTGTTTGCGAATCAAAAATATTTTTAATGAAACGAAGGGGAAACGCTGAAAAATATGACGGTGCGTATCCGTCATATAAGATTATATTTAGGTGCGGCAACTACCATAAACGCGATTGTTTAAAAATCTGATATTTTGGAAAGTATACATCATATTCCTTTGAAATTTTCAGATCTGATTTGAAGTAAATAAAGCTTCCATCATTAATAATAATTTTGTTGCTTTACGTCGACCTGTGGCAATTTTATCAAAGTCGTGACATTACTTTTGGATCAACCCTCGTATATTCAATAATTGACTGGATATATTCCACTAAACTTGAAAGAGTCTGCTTCATCTGTTTCATTTTGAATGTTTTACAGACTATAGACGACAAAGGCCAACTAAAAAACAAACATGAAAAACAAGATGACTTCAGCTACTCTATATCGTCAGCACTACTTATACATGTAGCAATATTCAGCTATATTACTTGCATATGATGTTTACGGCTCCAAACGTATTCGATATTCAAGGGCATATTATGAATACGATAATTTTTTTATCCGAGGCAGGTTATTCGCCGACACTTGATGTGAGAGGAACTTCAACAAACTCGTTCAAAATCAGCTTTTCGTAAATTCTTAAAATTCACTGTTACATTGTAGCAAATATAATCTTACATTGGGTGGTATTTTAGCTGTCTTGTATCAAAACCATTGTTAAGCCTTTGTTTTTTACTTAATTCGACTTCGGAATGTTCCGACTACCTGATCAATACATAGTCCTCACGGCAAGTGTGGTAGGTCAACAGGGAATGCTCACTCCTCCTAGGCACCGGATCCCACTCATGGAATTTTTTTTTGGGGGGGGGGGGTGTCCTATTTATAGATTTGTATTGTTGTAGTCCACTGATACAATACAAATACAGAGCAAACAAAGACCTCTAAAACATGAAAAATGGGACCAGGTGCCATTGAGTAGTAAGCATTCAAAGTTAACCGGTCATACACGCTGTGTGCTCCTTTCATGCTCGGGAAAACGGGTTAAAAGTGTATAAATAATGGCCTAAGAATAGGTAAAACGCTAGAATTAGACTTAATGACAGTTTTTTATTTGTTGCCAAGGTTATTGTGTTGAATATAGTATTTTCGAACTGTTGTCTTTTCGAAATGAGACTGTTGAGATTCTTATTTTATCAACTTGTTTGTCAATACTTTTTCTTTAGAAATTGTACCCATGTCGAGCATATTCTAACGCAATGAGTCAAATGAGAGACATTACTTTTATATGAATGAAGGGCTTGTTGCTACATAAATAAGAGAAGTTGACGATAGGATAGAATATTAAAATCATCACTTTTAACGTTTTGTTTTTATATGGTTACCATTAACTTTTTTCCAG